AAACTGATTATGAAATCATCTTTAAACTCTATAAATGACTATGAAATACTGAAATAAACAAGTAATAATAATGATAATAATCATCTGACTTCTATCTCAAGGTGATTTCTAAAGTCAATCAACTTTCAGTGATTAATACAATTCAATCTAATAAGATGTTAATTATCTAAAGTATAAAAAAAGGGGAAATGAATGATTTTCTCTTTTTTTTTATAACACAATTCTGTAGGAGTTCATTTAGGGGTAGGGTTTCAAAACTATAAAAAGAAAAGAAAAGCGTCTAGAAACTGGGTTAAAGTCTTAGAGCATATTAACCATCATAGGGAATAAAACCGAAATCCTTAGGAAAATTTATAATAATTATGGTATGACTATAATTTATAAACGACCTTTGAGTGACGCTAAAGTGACCGTGAGAGTTTCTACCTATTTATTAAGGCTAAATAAGGATTATAAAGCAGTTTAAAGAATAAAGATTAGTGTTATAACGCTCGGTTTTACTTTCTCTAATGTTATAACAGTTGGGTTTCTACTTTTACACATATGGGACGTTAATTTACTTTAGACTAGATTCCCTTTCAGTGTCTATTCTACAAGACGTCAACACAACTCAGATCAAGAACATGTGATTAGCCTGACCACAATGTAAATATATTTCCACACTAAAAACCCGACACAATCCAACAACAATGAACAATCAATAATAAGTGAGTCAGAATAATAGTAAGGATAGGGGAATATATCACTCATTTGACACCTGTCAGACTATCTACACGAATGCCCTGGTACGGCCGAGAGTGGGGTGAGTCTGCTCTCCCTCTCGAAATACTCTCACACGGCCGCGCGTATACAGCCTCTGCCAGCGAAGTCCTACTCATTGCCTTCTCGTGGCGGGGGTGTTGTTTACAAAAATGAGAGGACGAAAAGCGAATGTCCGGCGCTTTAACCGGATCACAAACCAATGGTGCACATGGGCTCCAGTATCCTGCGGGAACAAATGGCGTATGAACCAATCTTTGGTCACCGGCTACCATGGGATTGCATCTCCTTACGATGCTCCACTGCCTTGTGGGTTAGACCTTTAGGTCAAAGGCTCGGGGTGTGGCCCCCTAAGAAAACCACCTGCTTCGGTTTGGGCACCCGGGCAGTATCACAGCCCACACACAAACGATGAACTCTATGTCTTTGGCAACTACATTTATCGCTCCGAAAAACAAAAACAATCAGTCGATTCAAATAATTATCATTACTATTATTGTCATTATTAATACTATTATTATTACTATTATTGTCGTTATTATTATTATTGTTATTATTATTATTATTATGATTATTATTATTATTTCCCACATTATTCACCCTCTTTCATACTTATACAGCGGCTCGGCTTTGGTGGAAATCCGACTGTATCTAAACGTTCTCGAGTCACTGTCCGGTTGAAAGTTGCATGTTACCATCGAATATGAGTACCGAAGCAGTTTTTCTGAAACCACGTGCGCCATTCAAACTGGCTGCCTTCAACGTTCGCACACTTATGCAGGTTGGTCAACAGATAGGGCTGGCTATGTCTTTGGAAAGTCTTAATGTTGATGTTTGTTGTCTATCCGAGACCCGTATTCAAGACTCTAGCGAAGTACTACAAATTCGCTCTACATCTGTCACTTCAAAAAGCTTGTTTTACGTGCGCTTATCCGGGGACCCTGTGGCATCTTCGTCTGGTCTTGCTGGCGTTGGTGTCGCACTAAGCGCTAGAGCTGAGGCAGCACTAGTCGATTGGATCCCCATTAACAGTCGGTTATGTGCTGTTAGATTAGAAAGTTCCATCAAAGTAAGAAGAAATCGGCGTGAGAAACGATGTCTTTTCGTCATCTCCGCCTATGCCCCGACAGATTGCAGCCCGGATGCAATCAAGGATGAGTTTTAGCACCAATTATCTGTTCTTCTCCAGAAAGTGCGTTCGACAGGTATTGTAGTACTAGCCGGAGACTTGAATGCTCAGGTCAGGCGTCAAGGCACAGAAGAGAGTCGTTTAGGTGGCCGATGGGGACTCGTTGGTCGCAGGTCAGATAACGGGGACCGTCTACTGCAACTATGCACAGACCACAACCTGTTTCTGGCTAGCACTAACTTTCGGCACAGTCATCGCCGATGTGCCACCTGGCGTCCTCCCTCTGCATCTCAAGCCTGGACTCAGATTGATCACATCGCGATCAGCTACCGCTGGCGTGGTTGTGTAAAAGACTGCCGCTCCTTTTGGAGCACCTATCTGGACTCTGACAATGCCTTGATCTGCGCCAATCTTGCCTTACTTTTCAGTGGCCAACGAAGTGACCACCACCAAAAGATTGATGTTAGCAAGCTGGTTGCAACTTCTGTTGCAAGTAAGTATCGAACCGAGCTAGCCTCTAGGCTAGCTACCACTCCACCGAAAAGTATAGATGAGCATTGGTTGCAATTGCGTGACGCCATGAAAATGGCGGGAACAGTCAGTTGTGGGTTTGCGAAACGTCCCGCTTTTAAGCACTGGGTTTCTTCTGGTTCCTTACAACTCATTGAAGCCCGTCGGTCTACTCCGGGTGACCGTGAGTTTGACCATAAACGAAGGATGTTATGTAAGGAAATCGGGCAAAGCTTGCGTAAGGACCGAGAAGCCTGGTGGTCGAAGCATGCTAATGAGCTGGAAGCAGCAGCTGCATCTGGTAACTACCGGAAGCTCTTCCAGCTCATCCGAGCCACTGGCAGCAAGAAGTCTGGTGTGAGTGAAACAATCTGCGAGGATGATGGGATGCCAATCACTAACATCCATCGACGTCTTGGACGGTGGGCAGAATTTTTCAGAGGGCAGTTCAACTGGCCTGCTGCTCCGGCAACATCGGTCAGACTGTCCTGCCCTCCATGGCCGGTGACGACTGATCCACCAAATGAGGAGGAAGTCCACAAGGAACTCCAACTCTTGAAGCGTTACAAATCACCTGGCCCAGATGACTTACCTCCGGCTCTCTTTAAAGATGGTGGTGACTTTTTGACTAAGGAATTGACGACGTTGTTTACAAAGGTTTGGGAACTAGAGAGTGTGCCAACGTCATGGAATGAGTCGATAGTTGTCCCTATCTTTAAAAAGGGTTCACGTCGTTCCTGTAACAACTATCGGGGGATAAGTTTACTTCCGATTGCGTCCAAGCTATTGGCTTCCATCATACTTCGTAGGTTGTTCAAAACCCGAGAACGATTGACTCGCGAGGAGCAGGCTGGGTTTCGTTCTGGTCGAGGATGTATTGATCATATCTTCACCCTCCGCCAAATGTTAGAACACCGCCATACTTATCAAAGGCCAACAATCGTAGTGTTTCTTGACATCAGGGCTGCCTTCGATTCGTTGGACAGGACTGTTCTCTGGGATCGTTTATTGAAGAAGGGTGTGCCTGAGAAGTTTATTAACATCCTAAAAGCCCTATATACAAACATCTCAGGCAAAGTGGGGGCATACAACCACCTCTCTCCATTGTTCTATTCGAGCAGTGGGGTTAGGCAGGATTGCCCAATCTCACCATTCCTCTTCAACTTTGCCATCGATGACATTCTGGAAACAGCTCTGATGAATGTAAGTAATGGTGGTGTGGATCTGTTGCCTGGAGAAAGACTTCTCGACCTTGAGTATGCGGACGATATTGTCTTACTGTGCGATAATGCCCAAGGCATGCAATCCGCACTTAATCAGTTGGCAATCAGTGTCCGTAGGTATGGTATGTGCTTTGCACCTTCGAAATGCAAAGTACTTCTACAAGACTGGCAGGATTCTAATCATGTACTCACCCTGGATGGTGAGCAGATAGACGTAGTTGAGAAGTTCGTGTATCTGGGTAGCTGTATAAGTGCTGGTGGGGATGTGAGTGATGAGATCAATGCACGAATAGTGAAAGCCAGAGCGGCTTATGCCAATCTGGGCCATCCATGGCGCCTTCGTGATGTTAGTCTGGCTGTAAAAGGTCGGATCTACAACGCGTTGGTGAGAGCAGTTTTGCTCTATGCTTGTGAAACCTGGTCTCTCCGAGTTGAGGACGTTAGACGACTCTCTGTGTTCGATCATCGCTGTCTCCGAAGGATTGCTGACATTCAGTGACAACACCATGTCAGTAATGCAGAGGTTCGGCATCGTGTGTTCGGGCACAGAGATGATAATTCAGTTGGTGTCACCATCTTGAAACACCGACTTCGGTGGCTTGGACATGTTCTCCGAATGTCGTCCCAGAGAATTCCACGTCGTGCATTATTTGCCGACTCTGGGACCGGTTGGAAGAAGCGGAGAGGTGGTCAGTGCATGACATGGTGTCGTGGCATGAAAGAAAGCTGCAAAGGACTGGCTTGTATTGGTCCTTCACGACTCCCTGGTTGGGGTCTGAGAGATGGTGCTACACAGTGGCTAGAGACGTTATCAGATATGGCTCAGAATAGAAGCCAGTGGCGATCTTGCTGTAACCTTTTACTTTCTTCATAAAAAGTGGTTGTGTCTCCCTTACCTGAAAGATTTCTTCCGATTGTACCTTTGCGTTCCCTGATTACTAGCACATTACCTTACACCAATCTCTTCGTTATTGTTCTCTCTTTTTTTGTTGCGCTCCTTAGCTTTTTTTTCTTTCTTTGTATTCCTCTCGAATTTTCATTGTTTTGTGTGGCGCATATATATTGGCGCTCTCCTATACCAATATTCATGTGTCCAAATAAATAATAATAATAATAATCTACACGTCTGACTAAGCAGACAGTCAATCATTATCCTTCTCGTCCACACATCAATTAGGAATTAGATTTATGGTTTTCATCACGAACTGACATCAGTTATAATGCCAAAACTCTATTTAGCCAAATGAGTGAATGAATTTCACGCCAAAATCTCAAACCTGTTACCATAAATCTGATGAGTTCGTTCAAACATTATAGTCTAGCCAACAATCATATAATTTTATTTTTTAGAATCATTTCATAAAATAAACATTAATTAAATGATCAAATTTTCGACTACTACTACTACTACTACTACTACTACTACTACTACTACTACTACTACTACTACTACTACTACTACTACTACTACTACTACTACTACTACTACTACTACTACTACTACTACTACTACTACTACTACTACTACTACTACTACTACTACTACTACTACTACTACTACTACTACTACTACTACTACTACTACTACTACTACTACTACTACTACTACTACTACTACTACTACTACTACTACTACTACTACTACTACTACTACTACTACTACTACTACTACTACTACTACTACTACTACTACTACTACTACTACTACTACTACTACTACTACTACTACTACTACTACTACTACTACTACTACTACTACTACTACTACTACTACTACTACTACTACTACTACTACTACTACTACTACTACTACTACTACTACTACTACTACTACTACTACTACTACTACTACTACTACTACTACTACTACTACTACTACTACTACTACTACTACTACTACTACTACTACTACTACTACTACTACTACTACTACTACTACTACTACTACGATGTGGTGTATGCTACTTATGTCGACAGACATAAGTAGTATGAAACACTAATCGGTAGTCACAATTGATTGATCACTGGGTGGCGATCAATGTCATGCGTGTCTAGTCCTTATTAGTGCATATCGAATACTATCGATCATGTTGCAATGTGGCCACCGGTCTGAGTGACTCGACACTGCGGGCACTATATATTGAGATTAGATGGTGGTTGGAGGTAGTCGACAGGGAACCCTGGATCCGAGCTTCGTGCTACTTGGCACTCGTCAGCGAGGTGTACCTTTAATCTTGAGGGAACTGGTGCTCTCTGGAAGATTCGATCTCGTGTCACCTAGCCTCAGGGTTTCCTGTCGACTACCTCCAACCACCATCTTATCTCAACTAATTGATAGTAGTAGAAAACCAGATAGCAGAATAAGATGGAAAGGAAAATAGAAAGGAATTCTGAATTTGAAGAATCATATAGAAGTGAAGGACAAATGATGGAAATCGACAAATGAAATATTCGATATATGGTACTCATATTTTACCAAGATATTGTGTAGTGTTGTATTAAGATATATTAGTAGTTCCCACCAGTATTCTCGTTCATTACACTACTACTCACACTATTACTGCGCTGTGCCCTACTGATGTCAACAGATATAAGTAGTATATATCATCAATTGAAAATGAAATATCTGGAAGTAGAATGTTAAGAAGATCAAAGGAAAAAAAAGAGAACGAGAACATAGAATGATTGGTATGGAAATGAGAAAGCAATTAAATCGGAGACTATTGATTGATATTTTGCAATCAAAATATTCACTGTATAGTTCTCGGATTCGACTAAGATGTTCTATAATTTTGTAGTCAAATACATTTTACTGTTCCCATTTGTATTGTCATTCACTACACTACTACTGTGGTGTGTGCTACTTATATTGACGTAAGTAGTATATGATGTTAGTCGTGACTAGAAGGTCTAGTAGCAGAGAGACAAAAGTATCGAACAGTAAAGAATAGAAACAAAATGCAATTTGTATGAAAATGCAAGAACAATAAAGTCTGAGTCATTTTGGAGACAATCGATGGACATTTTGCAAAGTTCCCATTTACTTTATGATTTTTGATTGAGATCATGAACCGATTGATGTTAGACCACCACCTTTGGAAACCTGGAAGCACTGGACGGCCGTTTCGTCCTGTTGTGGCACTCCTCAGCAGTGCGCATCCACGATCCCGCTCGCGGGATTCAAACCCAGGGCCTTCGGTCTCGCGCGCGAACGCTTAACCAACTGAACCACCGAGCCGGTATCCAATGGTGACTGTTAGATTTTATGAACAAGTCCTGTAATTTTGTGTTGAATACATTCGATTGTCCTCACTGGTGTTCTCATTCACTACACTACTACTATTACACAGATTTATCTAATTCCTCTCTTTTTTTCCTTCTTTCTTTTTCTGTAATATTGAAAACTTTCACATACAACTAACACTACATCAATGTAATTTTCTATGATGTATAATTGTGTAAATTAAATTATCATGTTATGCATGTCATTTTCCATTTATTTGTTAATGTTAAGATTCACTTTGGGGGTAATTCAACATCTGTTACTGTTTAGTATTATTATTATTATTGTTGTTACCATTAATATTCGATTAAATTTACATTCAATTCCTTATGTTCACCTGTTTTGTTTGTTTCTTTTCTTTTTTGGAAGAGAAGAAGAGTATTTTATGCATAGAATAGTAAAGAGAACATATGTTCATTTTGTTCATATAAATGATATACTTTTCAAAGAATTGTTACTATTCTAGTAATATAAACATAGTTCAATGTTTAATCATCGTTTGAAATCACTTTCACTCAATTGTACATATGGATATATGTATGCGTATCTATGTAGATCAAAGACAGAGACAGAGACAGAGAGAGAGAGAGAGGGAGAGAGAGAGAGAGGGAGAAAGAGAGGAAGGGAAGTCGGGATTTAATCGCTTGAAATACTGACTATGTACATACGTATAGATATATTCTAATTAACAATATATCACGTACATAATTATACATTTAAAAGAATCATGGTAATATATTAAATGAAATTTAGTTTAGAACTAATGTCTCTTTTAAAAAAAAAAGTATTTCTTAAACAAAGATGGATAATTGCACAGCAATTGAATTCAGGACACATGTTTCATTCTATTTGGGACTCGTCAGCTGAATGTACCTACATTTTAGAGTTGATGTTCATTACAGAATTCGAACCCAGTACTGTTCGCTTGAAACGTCATCACGTTATCCATGTAGCTACTGAGTCCTAATAGCCACCTGTTTGTGTAGTGAGGTGAAGTGTTTTTTAATTCATTAAAACCTAAGACCTATGATCATATCGAAACAGACCGCACAAGATACATCTATGCCAACAGAAGACTGATCAATTGCAGTCCTAAATAACAATGGGAAGACACAAGTAAACAACACCAAGTGAATTTAAAGGTATTTCTTGTTTCCCTCCATAAATTTGTTGGTTACAAATTATATGTATTTATGTCATTGGCTTTTACTAGAAAAGTCACAAACAAACAAATTGTACTTATGACAAGAAAAGGGATGTTTTCAATTCATCTTATCCCATTAACCTATGTTGTTATCTTATTTATTTATTTATTTGAACACAAAAATAGGGGCACCGAATACACATACGCCACACAAGTCACTTGATTTGTGTGTAGGCTGTAATACTGCTAAGGTGCCCAGATCAAAGCAGGTGGTTTTCTTAGGAAGCCACATCAGGTGTCTTTGACTTAAATGTCTAATCCACAAAACAGTGGAGCTTTTCATCCTCTCAATTTCGTAAACAACAGTAATGTTGAGAGAAGGCAGTGAGTAGGAATTCCCTGGCATTTAAAGAGAGATAGCTAACTCTCTCCACCCTCGGCCGTACCAGGGCCGGTTATTTTCATTTTTAGTTTGCTATTTTTATTGTATACTTCAATGTCACAATTATTATTACAATGTTGACTTCTTGGAGTGTGAAACTTATTCTGAATCTGTGTTTTCACTCTCTATCTCTCCTCAATCAGATGTAAGATTATTATTGTAAAAGTGTTATAAGGATTAGTTGTCGAAACGTGTAGAAAGTGTTTGCTTTCTACTTGTATTAAGGAATATCTTTCAATCGTCCATTCGAAAATAGAACAACATTGAATCGTTTATATCAAGGTTAGTAATAGAATTCAAAATTGCCAGATTGATGTTTGAACTCGAAATATGATTGTTAACAGTCAAGTACTTTAATAAACACATAATCCTTTATGTATCTTTGTATAAATTCATTCATTTATAATAAGACAGGTATAAAACCAGAACATCTATACTTTCAAATGTATATTATTGAAGAGAAAGAAGTCTCAGAATGATTATATGTTGAAAAATGAAGACTATCAATTATTGATAGTGGGGAATATGATGAATATAAATTCTTATAAATGACTTTATTCATCCTTTTCATATCTGCTTCCATTTAACGACGTAATGTGTTTTCTGGCCTTCCTCTTTTCCGATTCCCTTCAGGATTTCAAGTTGGGGCTTGCTTTGTGATGCAGTTTAGTGATTCCCTCACTGTGTGTCATATCCTCCTCCATCGTCTTTTCCTAATTTCCTCATCATCTAGAAGTTGGTTTGTTCTTTCTCACGGTAGGTTGTTTTTTACGGTATCCGGCCACTAGATGTTGAATATCTTGCATAGACAGCTGTTTATCAATACTTGTACCTTCTTGGTGACGGTTGTAGTAGTACTACACATTTCAGCTCCATACCGTAGAACTGTGTTGACGTACGTATTGAAGATTATGACTTTGATGTTGGTTAACAGACAGTTGTTTTGAGTTCCATATTTTCTTCAGTTGTAGAAATGCGGCCCTTGCTTTGCCAATCCTCGACTATGCTTCCCAAGTATGTGAAGGATTCTACATCTTCCAAAGTTTCGTCATCAAGTGTGATTGGATTGGTGTTCTCCGTATTGTGTTTGACGACCTTGGTTTTTCTCCTGTGTATGTTGAGGCCTACTGATGTAGAGGCTGCTGCCACACGAGCTGTCTTCATTTACACTTGTTCGTATACAAACTAGGAATCCAAGATATAACACAATTTAACCAAGAAGAACTATATAAGAGCACGAACGAATGTATTGTACTTGGAATTTGAAATCAGGCAGTCATCAAGTACAAAGTAAATCACTAGTTCATACAGACACCACAAAAACTTATCAACACTATGCATATCTTATGTAATTTTTGTTTTGTTTATTAAAATGCATATTCATTGTTTATTCAATTGGTGTTTTTGGTAAGGCTATAATTTATGGACGACCTTTGACCGACGCCAGACTGACCTTGAGAGTGTCCACCTAATAACCAGGACCAAATAAGCGTTATAAACAAGTTTGTAAGGAATTATAATTATAATTTACAATTGATGATTAAGGTTAAGAATTAGATTTCGGGTTTTCATCACGAACTGATATCAGTTATAATACCAACACTCTATTTATCCGAATGAATGAATGGATTTTGCGTCAAAATCCCAGATCTGTTATCTTAATACGTGATTGGTTCGTCCATAAATTATGGTCTCACAGTGTTTTTCGATAATTAAAATACCCACACATAAACTACCAATTCTAATTAGATGGTGTTTTATTCTTTCACAAACAAGAATTGATGTTGACTAATTCATGTTGCAGTGTCGGTTACTATGTCAAGACCACATAGCTTATTCTAGATTCTGGACAAATCAATTTATCTATTCTACTAAAGCTACATTTTAACATTGTTAATTATTCACTTATCAACCTTGACTGTTTTTATATGAGCGTATATTTGTGTATTTCTTATCTTATTCATCACATGCGTGTAACTTAGTTTTTGACTTTAATCATTGATTCACGCTTAATTAAACTGTGTTGGCTCATACGCCTTCTTTATTGCGTGAGATTTTGCTTTGATCTCTTCTTTTATCTTCGTCCCACTGATTGTATGTTTTAATCAACGTATTCAAAACTTTCTTCTCA